CCTCTTGCAGACAACTATCAGTTCGACTCAAATGAAAATTATAATCTAAAATAATGTTATTTTCGATACAGCGAAATTGTGTACACTATAAAACATCTTGCATAGTACGTACGCGTATACATACGTATATAATATAACACAGTTTTTAACGTGCCCACCGCAGTACGTATTGCGTAATATAAGTTAAAAGCCATTTATCAAAATGCTAATGCAAGTCGATTGTGTTTAAAACTAAAAATAAATAATAATAAATAAAAATATAACGGCATAACGTGTGCGTGTACGTACCAATATAGAAGAGACGTGAAAAATAACCGTCCAAAAACTCATATACGATAATACAATGTTTACTGATATGCATAATAATATATTCCATTATATATAATACATCTATACTAGGTATACATATTATACATGTACGTTGATCGAAACTGCGACGACGATGACGCGCGGTGCGTGTGACCGAGATGTGAATAAACTTGGTGTGCGCGTAAATCATATTATATAGTCACGTGTCGGACGACACTAGTATACCTACCAGCGTATCTATATATGCACACCACGCGTATAGAAGTTTTTTACGGTTGAAAATCGTTTGGGGACGTATAATATATACGTACCTACTATTATAATTCATTATACGGAATATATTATAATAATAATAATAATATTATATACAGGATCGTCCGACTGTCGTCTTTCAAATGCGTCGAGGGAATCGTAGGTAGGTGAGCGCATTATTATTGCATGAAATACCTTTATGCCGATTCCTACCTTGACGAAAATTGAGGCGATTATTACAAGCAAAGTAATAATTTAGACATCACACTAAAACCGTAATAGATTCATCTTAAGCTATAGTACACGATATTATATATATATATATAGGTACAACAGTGCTGTAGTCAAAAAATTTTTTTTGTGGGGGGGATGAGGAGGCTCTTTTTTATGTTTGGTGTTTTTATGTCATGATGTCATAGGTATATATCATTTTGCGACAATCTTCATAAAAATTATAATTTTAATACATGCAGTTACGTCTTATGTGATACATTTATACAAAACTGAAAGCATTTATAACTGTTCTTAAATCTCCGAGAGAGCTGCAACCACCTGAACCCCCCTCTTTTGACTCTATTCACAAGTAAAATCAGGAAAAGTACAACAGATTTTAAAAAATCTCTCAAAAAGATTTTAAAAATAAATTAAACATATGTATTTGCATAATATATTGTAATTGTACCTAAATGCAATTTAAATTATGTATATAAGTTAATTATACTAATGAGTAAAACAAAATATACTTTAATATTATTTAAGTATAAATATACTTAAATACTCTTATACGTATATTATATAAACTATAACTATATGCAGTAGAAATCGTATGTTATGATTTTTAATAATATTCAAGAGACAAGCCAAAGGTCAAAACAACCAATAATTAAAAAAATATATATATTAGAAAACATTTGAACAGAATAGGTACATCATATTTATTTTCATTGAAAAGTAAAATGTATTTTCATTACATATTCGTATTAATATATTTTATTATGTGGTATGTTTTTTTAAATAAAATTCGTGTATTTTCATCTCTTCTATTTCAAAGTTTATTTTTGAACTTGTATTATTAATAACCGTATAATTTGACACTAATTATTTAATATTTTTTATTATATTGAAAATTATTCTTTTCATAATCGTCAAAAATATGACCCATTATTTGTTATTACAGATAAAATATTTTTTTTAATTCACCAAAAAATAAACGCCTTTACATCATAATATTATGGTTATAAAGTCAAAATAACCGATTTAAAATTAGCATATAAAATTTGAGAGTTTTAACGGCACCTATTCAATTTAAGGTCGTTAGACCCGGTATGCTACTTTAACTGGTGTCATTATAAACGATTTATTCTGTATTTTCTACTTATAAAATTATTTTTATATTAATATAGACCAGGCATGTCAAACTCAAAGTATCAAGTGGACCAAATATATTGAATAGTTTATTGTTTGGGCCGCACATAAAAATTTAGCGAAAAATAAACATCTTGTAAAAAATTTTCAATTTTATTCTTTATGTTTACAAATACAGCAATTACAACTAAATTTAAAAATGAAAAAAAAATAGACATTAACATTTAAATAAAATATAAATTATAATAATTATTCGATTATAGTTTATCAGAAGATAAGACAGTATAATAATGTATATCAAATAAACCATTCTCTAAGAATCTAAGCTAGTCGTGACACGACATTATTAATATTTTTTCTTGTTCATTAATATTGGTAGCCACGGGCTACAAAAAAATGAGCTGCAGGCCGCGTGTTTGACATGCCTGATATAGACGATTTGGCGATGTGTGTGATTATTCGAGTAATACGATTAAATGTTGATAAATTATTACTGATTAATAAAAATATTACGTTGACAATAATAATATTAATCAAGCATATAAACTGTATATTATTTCTTATTAATATTGCAATATTTTATAAGTTAAATAATTTAATTATTTGCTAGAAAAAATATATAAAACTAAGTACATGGCACTAATTAAATAAAACAGTCCTAATCTGAGTTTTCTTAAGTCCTTGTTATTTTTATGATATATCGGACTAATTGAACTCAGCCTCCCCTCTTCCCCTCTTTACTCATAAGTCAGTCATAATCAATTTTAAGCAATATTTATCTTCAAAAGCCTTCATAAAATACAAAATATTCAGTTGTATGGCATAACCATGCACGTATTTAGTTTTGCAAATAACTCGGACGTTTTAGTTGTTGGCCAAATCTTATATACATTGATTTTATAATAATGCGTGTTGTTTTTTGTCCTTTCAGCAAAAACAAGTTTCAGACCGGTAAAAACGGTTAAGACATTTCTAAAATCACACCTCGACTGTATTTACCTATACATATGTGGAACACTGTATACGTCGTAACATTGTATTGTGTTACTATTGTAGTTATAAGAGAAACCGTTTTCTTGAATTTCCCAGTAGCACCTAACTCTATAGGTGTATAGCTTTCTGGAAAACCACAAAAAAAAACAACGATTGACGAATTGTAACTTGTAAGTAAACGACTGTTTTTAACGCACATTGGATTAACCGAACTTCATTCTCACAACTGTAACGGTTGTGCGATCAAAATTCAAGTCGAAATGTCTATCTAAAGCTATTGGAGTTTTTCAATTTTATTTAATCGCATTTTCTACACGGCCTTATTATACAAAATTCACATATAACACGCATGTCGAAAACAAAAATAAAAAATACCAATAAGACATATTTATAACACACGCGTCATACAGTAACATACTAACATAAATCGTAGTCGTGCTGCATTCAAAGTTCCTGGTTTCCATATAAGTGCGTCTAATTTACGAGCCTAAAATGAAATATTGCTAAATTAGTGTTACATATTATAATTTATAACATTGTCTAAACGAATTTTCGGTAGATATATAAGTACCTGTTTATTTAGACTAACATAATTCAAAAGGGTAATAACACGAATTCATATATTATTTAATATTGTGTGCAAGTACTGGATGCGATTACAAACATAAAACATAATAATATAATTAAAATTAAAATTGTTGTTGAATATTATGGACATCGTTTATTATTAATATTTAACATAGTTTATTATTTTATGATTTTAAATTAGTACTTTTTTTCGGTGCTCTCTTAAATTTTAATAGTTTTACGTTTATTACACATAATAAATTATTTGATTTTCAATTATAATTTATAAGGGTTGAATAATTATTACCGTAACGACTATTATTTCTCCGTAAATCTTTACATGAAAATTCACAATCTATCTTCATTATTATTAATAATGTTAAATATTTTTTATTTAAATTAATAAATTTCATAAATCAATAAACATAATCCTTGGATTCTGTTGAATAAAAAATCATTAGAGTTAACAAAAAATCTTCAGTTATAAACACAAGTTTAACAACAGTTATGGATAGCAATTATTATTAATTGTAAATACATTTTTTGCAGTTAATCAGTTTATTTTTAAAAGTAAGCCCGTAATTTATATCTGTTGAAATTATACTCGTATATTGTGTGTCTTAATAAAACATAATATAACACAGTTTAAATGAAACGATTGGTTAGATATAATATAGATAAATATTATTAATTGTTTTATTTATTTTTCTGTCGGAATTATGGTATTTTTTAACAGGAAGTAATTATAAGCGGACTAAGAAAAAAGTGGTAGTTTTATTCGTTCAATCCTCCTCAGCTTTTCAGAGTTAATATAGAAAAGACTCGTATATTGATGGGTCCGCAAAAAAATTGTCAATCATGTCATTATAATTAGACTTAATCTGTACGCTTAAAAAATCGGCAACCTTCATCAGTAATTACGTTTGATAAAATATTTATGAACAGTTACTCGTAATGTTAGGATATGATTCGTTCGTGCGAATGCATTAAAAACCAAGTAGGTATATTTTTGTGTTCTCGAACAATTTTAATCTTTGATTAAAATACTCAAACCTTCGACACGAACGTTATATACACAAATACAATTATATGTACGATATGCATAGTATATACGTTTTGCTAAATCGTGGTTTTTAGAATTTAAAATCTAAATTTCGGCGGAATAAAATAGTACAGCGCAAAAACGTTGACCTCCTGTAGGGAGTACAGTTGTACGTATACACCGCTCGTATAGACTTTAGAATTTAATCTAAAAAAAAAAAAAAAAAAACCAACAGGCGATCGGTGCAAAACGGTATAGGTACCACCCTCAAGACATGTTGTGCTCTTATTACGTCGTAATAACCCTCCGTCAAAGTCGGCTTGAACGACAATAATTATTATAATATTGCGTGCGTACTGCGTACGTCGCGCGAGCGAGGAAAAAAAATAACAAACAATAAACGCGCCGATTCGCGTAACGACCAATGCGCTTCGCGCTATAATATTATCAGATAACGCGGGCCACTACTAACCTCCGCAAGCGGGTTTGAAATCGGTGCAACAGTCGCCGAGCTTGAGACACGCGTGGTCGCAGTAACACGGCTTGTCCGTGGGATCCTCGATGATCGCGTTGATGGGCGTCTTCTGGACGACGCACGCCGAGTCGCGGCCGGGACAGCACAGCTTGGCTTCGAGACAGCTGCCCGCGTCGGCGGCGCCGATCAGGGCCAAAAGCACGGCCGCCGCGGCACCGACGGCTGTTCGGACAGCGATGCGACACCGCATGATGCGTCGAGTTCGGCACGGAAAAAAAAAAATCGCGTGTATTCACGGTAAACCGCGGGACGGCTGACGGCGCGAGACACGTGAACGATTTATTTTTACTACTACGTCGTTGTTGTCGTTGTTGTTGTTGTCGTTATAACCGTTACCGTTATAATATCGTATAGCTGTGTAGTAGTCGATTTACAGCGGTGATTTTCGGGAGCGAGCAAAAAAATAAAATCACCATTCGAGGGGGGGTGGACTCGTGGTTATCTAACAGCGATGTCGTTATTGAACGGCAACGACAATAATTATGATAATAATATGACAGTACCTGTCTGCCGTATTTTAATATTACATAAAATCTACCGAACCGCGAAGAGTATATGATATTAATATTGTTATTATTATTATTATTATTATCGTACAAGTCTCGTATGCGTTTTTGTGCGCGCGCGCGCAGACGACCACGTGCGATCGTGCGGGTTTCTTGTAGCGACAACGTTATCGGCGCACCAGCGTTTGTCGTAGCCGACAGGTGGACAGGAACTGCCGTCGTCGTCGTCGTCGTCGGCGGCGGCGGTAGTTATGTTGTATAGTCACTAGCCGTCCGCTACACCACCGCTGTGTGAGGTGAGCGCGCGGAAAAAGGGATGAGAGTTGCGCGGCGCAGTGCTGCCAGTCTTGCCGGACCACCGTATCGTTATATAGGTACAACTATAACTGAAGTCCGTCCAGGAATATTATTCAATGTTACAATAATTGACTATTGTAATATTGTTGTTATGATAATTATTTACTTTTTTTTTTATTATTATTATTTAAAAAAAGAAGATTCTTGGAACCGTTGACATTGGGAATTCATCATTTTTTTGTACAGAATATGATCAAATAATAATGCTAAATTGAAAGTTTTAAACTACATGCCATACAAATGATAAATTTCTCATGAAATATTAGATAGATTTAGTTGAGTACCCTATTCTTAATATACTAATTATTATAGTTTCCTTATTATCATTTATGGAAGGCTATAACAATAGTATAGAACTTGCACAAAAATTTCCCTTATTCTGTAATTTGAATGATGTAGTAGATTAATTTTGGCATGTGCAGGTGTTGTCGACTGTGACTGGGTAGTAAACACCTACTGACATTTTTTAATTAGAGCACTAAAGTCGAGAATCTCGTATTTTATCTGTTGTTATTAAATAAAATATATGATAAAAATTACTAAAAAATATCCTGTGTTATTTTAAATAATGTACCTAAAGTACAAAATTGTACATTTCCATTTAAAGACCGTCTTAAGAAAACGTAACAATGTACCATAAGTCTAAAAACACTTGGAACCATTAATAAATCTTAATGTATATAGAACACGAATTAGTGATTAAGATTTAGAAATAAATGAATTCAATTATTTAAATACCTTTAAATTATAATAGCTATACGAATATACGTCTATTGTTATACATTTTAAAGTGGAGCAATGAATGTATTGATTTTACAATGATGTATTTTTTTAAATTTTTTAATATCGTGCCTGTTATTATTTTTTGGGATTATAAAAATACTTTGATTTTCAACTTTGGAGGTGGTTTCTAGCAAAAATTTAAATCAAATTATTATTTTTTGACAGGAAAGTGGTGGTGGTCAAAAGTAAAAAATGTTCAATACTTTTTAAAATAATGCAGGAAAAAAAAGTTTATTGTAAAAAAGGGATTTTTAAGAACAATTAGTAGATATTTGAAAAAATAGATTTTATTTTATTTAATTAAAAAACGAATAACCATCCTTGAAAGTTTTACCTAATATTTATATTATAATTTTCTAAATTTTTAAGTATTTTGACTTTTTTTAGCTATTTATAAACAGTGTGATTACAATTCCAGGTACCACTAAATATTTTAACTGCTTGATCTTGGATTGAAATTGAATTTTCGGGAGATGATTGAAATACTAATTGAAGTATACTTCTAGTTAAAGATTAAAAGAAAAATGGTTTTCTCATCAATTAAATACCTATATTTTTTAATTATCTTATCATTGTTAGAAGTATTGAAGAATAAAATGAAATTTCAGTATAAAAATAGTTCAAATTATTATCATATAACAGTTAACCAAACATAAATTTTCACCTGCTCAATATATCCTTCCGGGCGACAAGGAAATAATACATACTAAACACTTATTTATTTCAAATAATTATAAGTTAAAATTTTGTTAAATATTAATTATGCATAGGCATAGACGTGCGCACGGAGGGTTCTGAGTGTGCCTGGGCACCTCCGACATGCAATTGGGGCCCTAAAATTTAAGCCCTATAACATACTAATGGGTCTGTATTTTAACTTATGTTACTAGAATAAAAATTTTATTTTATTTAAAATATGTGGTAAAAAAATAAAATATGTTTCGGGATAAAAAAAAATAATACAACGTAAAATATTTTAAATCTGCGTGGTAAAAATTATTGTAATTACATCAGTTATGAGATGTTATTGACTACAAAAGTAAAAATAATAAATATATATTGCAATTATCTTAAAAATAGATTTTAGATCTAACTATTTAATGAAATATTTTATAACTTAGTACCTACCAGAATACTTATTAATAAGTAATACAAATACTATTTGGTTATTAACGAGTTTAATTATTAAAGTAATAGGCGCATGTTATTATACATTTATCATTTTTATATTATAATATTAAATAAAAAAATGTAAATAATGTTTATTCGTACATTATAATTTATTAAATTAAATGTACATGTCTTGTTAAAAAAAGGGCCTAAATTAAGAAAAGAGCCCGAAAAAATTGTAGGCACCCCCGGAATTCAGGTCTGCGCACGCTTATGTTGAGTTATGTCCATAGGTTTATAAATTTACATTAACATGATTAATTTTGTAAATATAAATAACCTTGTTATACGAAAATAGTTCTAGAAAAATTAATCTATCCGGGAATATACAAAAATAGATATGACCATTCAAAAAAAGTTAAGTGTACTGTGCATGCATGTACCAAAACAGTTAAAAAACTTTTAATTTACTTAAATATGTATTTGGGTACTTTCTTTCACCTCCCAAAAACCCCATTTTAATACAAGGTCTTACTGCGGAGATATTTAATGGTTCCTAAAATTGTGATCATATTGTATATTAAAAAAATAATAAAACATTTTCACTGGATCAAGATACTTGAAATCTAAGTATTTATTTTCATTATCAATATAATCCTTTAAAACTAAAATTTCCCATTTTCGATAAATCATTATTATCTAATACATCATTTTTGAACACGTTTTAATGTATTTTGAATAAAATGAACTTAATTTCAATTTATATATTTTATGGTCATCTGCGTATATCGCATATCACCCAACCATATCAGAATAATGTGTATTATATAGCATAAATACGACACAATAGCGTTAATGCCTTAACGTGGAATATGATCACACAATATAATAACCCAATAGCGAGAACATATAACGTACGACATTGACGTATTTTTTTCCAATTTTCTCTAGTTAAACTTTATTTGAAGGAGTCAATAGTTCTATGAAGTAAACATATATTATAAAATATATAAAGATAGGTATACTATATAACTATATAAGTGTGCATATCACAATATATTGTATGAGGTTTTTTTCTTCTAAAAAATAATCTCCTCTTTTTTCGTATAAAAATATGTTTTCCGCGATTGTCCAGCAGTTCAATACAACAGAATAAAATACATAATACTATTCACTAGTGCATGCTCACGTCAAATGATGTGAGTTTTGTTGAATCCCCTCCCTTTCCCTCTTACACACAACACGCAAACATACACATACACGTATATGTGGTACACGCGTGTATGCGAAACGTCATCTGATTCGAAGAAAATTCAATATGGTAAGTATTATAATACAATATGATGATAAACTTCATATCAAACCAGAAGCATAATATGATACATATAATAAAAGTGTATTATTATTTATAATATAAACAACAAGAGCTATATTATGTTCTCGACGTATATACTTCAAAATAAAATGCATCTAATCATAATAAGAAAAATTCATCCCGATATTTAGATGTTTAGAGTAGCACCATTTTTTATACATTATTATTAATATATTATTTCATTAATGAACGCACTAGTTAAGTATTATAATTGACCATATATAATTTATAGGGTAGATGGGCCATTGCTGATTACATTCCTAATTAAACTATTTTGTTAAAATTTAGAGTTATAAATACTTAAAATTTAAAATTATTTTATTTTTTTTTTAAATTAAAATTCAATAAATCTACTTAGGATACTTTCACACTTAATCGTGTCATTTGAGTTGAAATATATTCAACTTATGTACATAATGACACGACTCTGTGTAAAGACATCAAATAAAGGACAATGCCAAATTGAATAAAAAATTGATAAATTTAATGATTCACTAAAATTTGATAAATTAATCACGAGCCATTAATTTATGTTTATTGAACCATTAGCTTACTCTAGATAAATTAATTTTTTAGTGATTGTTTATGTATCCACTGTCCAGGCATAAGTTTAGCCACTTAAATGATTTACACAGTAAAAAATATGGATACCTAAAGGCGTAATTTAAGAAGGGAGTAATAAGGATGTTCTTTTTTTATTTCATAGTTTATAAAAAACTGTTTTTAAGCTTCAATTCATTAAACACATTTTTTTTTAGCATATCATGCTTCACTGCTTAAGTCTGAATATTATTATTCCATGTATGCTTTAAATACTAATAACAATATTTTTATCAAAATATTTATCTTATAATAGGTGCATACAATATTCTATATAATAGACCATAATTTATGGTTCATTATAATAATATAGCTTAATATATTTAACAAAAAATTATGAACTGCAATACCTATAATTTCTTTGTCTATAGATTTAAATTATTCTTCCCTCATAATATTTTTAAAGACAAAAGGTGAATATCCTTATTTAATCTTTCTACTACCTCTATCCCCCAAACAAAAATTACTTATATTAGTCTTATGGTACCTAATTGTACCTTAGCAAGTACACTCGACGTATAAGAGTTCTTTCAGTTGTAAATTTGCCATTATTTTATATACGAGTATAATTTTTTGCTTTTACTGGGTTACACATACCTAATATATTATAAATTATAAACAATGAGTATATCAATATTATTATTATTATTATTTATTTATTTATTTTTTTTTTTTTATCTATGATGTTTCAATTTAAACCTATTTTATAATTCGACAAGTATCAATTCTAATGTGTTTGCTATAAATTATAATATGAGTTATATAGTTTTTGTTTCTATTTAAAACGAATGGTGTTTATTTACACAAATTAATAAATA